CACACCCAGAGGCACACTCAGAAGCACACTCAGTGACACACTCAGTGGCACACCCAGAGGTACACTCAGTGACATACTCAGTGACACACCCAGAGGTACACCCAGTGACATGCTCAGTGACACACTCAGTGGCACACCCAGAGGCACACTCAGTGGCACACCCAGAGGCACACTCAGTGACACACTCAGTGGCACACCCAGAGGCACACTCAGTGGCACACCCAGAGGCACACTCAGTGACACACTCAGTGGCACGCCCAGAGGCTCTGCCTGCTAGGTTGATTCTGCATCCCAGCAGGTTGAAAATTGAGACTGAGTATCTTGCCTACACTGGGGGAAAGACTGTGATTCCTTCGGAAGTGAGTCTGATGTTTGTAGTGAGCCTCCTTTTAATCCATGTTTTCCATTTAAAAGAAGGAAATCTGAGGTGTCCAATATTCCTGTCACTGCTTGGTCCTTGGCTGGCACAATGCTGCTTCTCCTGATGGCACCAGATGCTCTGTGGTACCAGCTTACAAGCTCCCTACACTATTGCTTCAACAAGCTACCCCCAGAGGCCGCCTTTCTCATCCACTCTGGCAACTGCAGTGGAAAAGCCAGAGGACACAATCTCTAAGAAAGATGAGAAGTCCCGTGGGGAGACAGAATTAGCATCCTTGACAAGCTTCCAGTTAGTTGCTGGCTGTGGGATAGGGACACAGTGAAAACAGACCTCAGAGAAGCAGGGTGACACAGGACCTCTGACCTTCCTATGCGGCTTTGGAGCTCTGTGGACAGTCATGGAACAGCAGGGCAGTGGAGATGCAGAGACACCATCCATGTGGGCCACGGACTTGGGTCACATGGGAAGAAGGATGCTGACGCAGCCGCTCCGCCTCAGTGTGGCAACCGGAGGGAGAGGGTCCTGGGTCTGTAGGTGACATGCCAGTCCAGGAAGCTGGAAAAAAGGTAGAGGTGAGACTGGAACCTCTGCCTTTACAGTTTTGAGTCCAAGCTCCTCTGCTTTAGCTCTAGCATCAGACCTCCCTCTGTAGGACAGAAACACCCTCTGAGCACAGTGCAGGGTTTTCTGAGAAGCCCTGAAGTCAGTATCCAGCCATGGAAACAAAACAGGCTTATGGGAAGCAGAGGCAGGAGGATGCCTGACCCTAACAGGCCTGCCACTGTCGCTGAGACAAGCTCCAGGTTCAGTGAGATCCCATCTCAAAAGCCCAACTGGAGAGTGGCCAGGAAAGACACCCAAGATTGACCTCTGACCTCTACATGTACACAGTCATATATGTACACACACACAAGGAGAAAGACAGTCTCACTAGAACAGGATACGAGGTTCTGTGTTCGGACCTGCAAGGACTCCCCTCCCCAAAGGTGTGTGTGCTGGAAGGTGACAGCCCTCTCATAGAGCTCTTGGGTACCTTTCCTTTGGAAATAGAAAAACTACCGGCAGAGGGCTGATGGGTTGAAGTTCACCAGTGTGACCGACGGCTCCCAGATGGAGCATGCCAAGAGGAGCCAGGAGCTGCAGAGTGGGGTGAGTGCTGGGGGCCCTCTTGCCGTGGCTGCTGTGGCAGGGGCTGGGTCGCCTGGAGACAGCAGCAGCTGCTGCCCACAGGGCATGGCCCGGGCCTCAGGACGTCTGCAGACCGGACGCCAGCATCCCGCCTGCTTCTCCCCCGAGCCACTGAGACAGACCGATCCGAAGCCTCCTGTGCTGCCACTGTTTCTTAAGCCCCCCTTTCTTCTTTCTCTTTCTTCTTTCTCTTATCCAAGACTATAATTCTGGATTAACAGGGAATTATGCTGGGGGAGGATTTGCTTTTGGCTGGGTGCCATTTGAGTTCAAATGAGGGAGATAGAACAACAAGGTGCCATTTGTATGATTTATGGACTTGTGACCCCCCCCCCCATCTCCCTCCCCACCGAAGCTGCCAGAGCCAGTAGAGCTACAGCTTGCCAATGTAACTCGAGGGAGGAGAAAGGAAGAGAGGAAGCAGAGGTCTGTTTTCAGGGATAGGCTGGTCTGGTTAGTGCCCGCCAACTTTGGTGCCAGCACTTCCCAGTGTACGAAGGTTGATCATGGGGTGCAGGAGGGCGTGTACTTCCCGCCCGCCAACTTTGGCGCTCTCTGGGGGGGGGGGCACAATTTTTGATGTTCATAGGAGAATGTAAATGACAATTGATGGGGAGGCCAATGGCAATTCTAGCGAAAGATATGGGAACCTGGAGAATGTTC